GGGTGACATTCCTACAGCTGAAGAACATATGGAACTCAAAACAGCTGTCAGTCAACATCAAAGTCAGAATCTTCAACACGAACGTCAACACATTTCTACCGTACGGATTTGAAACTTGAAGAACTACTACAACTATCATCAAAACGGTACAAGTATTTATAAACAGTTGTCTATGCAAGATACTCAGTGTCCGTTGGCCGGATACCATCAGCAACAGCCTATTGTGGGAGAAAACAAACCAGGTCCAAGCTGAGGAAGAAATTAGGGAAAGACGTTGGAAGTGGATAGGACATACATTGAGGAACTCACCAAACTGCATCAGGATGCAAGCGTTTACCTGGAATCCTGAAGGGAAACAGAGAAGTAGAAGGCTAAAGAACACATTACATCGGAAGTTGGAAGCAGTCATGAAAAGGATGAACAGCAACCAAAAACAACTAGAAAGAATTCCCCAGGACAGAGTTGGATAGGGAATGCTGGTGGACGGCCTATGCTCCTCCACGAGGGGTAACAGGAGGAAGGAAGTACGTTACGATGCTAAATGGTTGCAGGTAGTCAACAGGAAGTCCTGCATTTAAACTTAGTATTAACTACCACTCATGAGCAAGGTGTTTCCGGAATATTGTGGGAACCGACGTTCCTTATAGGATTCGGACCAGTGTCAAACAGTTTCATAGTCAGAGACACTGCTATTGAGCGATTAATATATTCTTGGGACAGGATATACACACCAAATCGTGACTAATGTCATACTCGTTTAATATATAGTGTTTACCAGATTCTGCCGAGCAAGTTGTAGTGTGAGATTTAGTCTAAGTGATTTCATATTGTGTGTACTATGTTTGAATGTAATTTACGTATTTTCGGGTCAATCGTCTTATACAAGGGTTAATTATACTATTTAAATGATTTAGATCATCATGCCATCTTCATACCTTAGTTGTGGAAACAGAATATAGACTTACACAAACAATTTATCAGAAGAGACAAACAACAAAATTCCGTCTTTAAAACACGAATACCAGAACAAACTTTACAGCCACTTGATTTGCAAAGACCTGATAACTGTAATAATTTTCTAGTTTCGATAACCGTTGTACCATTACGCGTACAACTTTTAGTAAGAGAGAGAAATGACAAGCAGTCAAGTGAAAATAGCTTAATGAGTACATAGTTTTAAAGCATTCCAATACCATTACTTACTACATTACAGATAAATTATAAAAATACATCCATCAGCTTGATCTAAATTTATTAATCTATTCAAAAACAAGCAAACAAACGAAATAATGAGCGCTACCCACTGAGATTAATTTGGGTGGAATCATTCATTATTTAATCAATAAATGTTTTGTAAATATGTTAAACTAATTAAAATTCATTTAATAAAATGAAAAGAGTATTCACAAAAATACTGTCGAGCAATATATCAGTGAATACTATGAAATATAAACACCGAGTACATGTGTGGATCAAATATAACGAATAGTTTGAATATAGATAGAAGAAAATTAGAACAAAGAAGTGTTTGATTAGAAATTAAATCGATTTCTATTGTCATTAATGAAAAGATGAAGCCTATTGAATCTCATATATATATATATATATATATATATATATATATAATTATAGACTATTAGTAAACTTTAGTGGTTTGAGAAAACTGTGATTGAAAAATAACTATGAACTCATCAAATACAATTTAATGAGATAGTTTCTCTAATTAATGTTAGTTTGTGACAAGATTTATCTACCAGTTGATGTTTAAAAATAAACAAAACAAAACGACGATTATGTATTTGATACTGACTAGTAATCAGATGAGTTGTCAAAGTACCAGTAAGGAGTGATGACTTTTGAAGTCAACTATGACGAAAGTGAGGCAGGTGACTTAAGTTGAAAATATCAACCAATGTGTTCCAAATCAGTGATCTAAATGTATCCTGTGGACTGTAGGTGATCTATCAGATGAACCTTCCAACGATTAACATCAAAGTTAAATTGAAGATGTTTTTAAAAATAAATTTTCTATGTAATTATGTACCAAATAATGGTTAATTTTAAAGACTTCTGGGCTTTAAAAAATTAGGGTTGAATTTAGCTGAATTAATAGATTTCTTCATATTTATCTACGGTTAATTATTTTGCTCAACATGTACGTTTGTGTAGCAAGCTGTGGTATTGAAGTTTCAAAAAAAGGCAATTAAAAGCAAAAAATACTTGGTCTACAAAGAAATCATTTATTATATATACATATAATTAAAGTGAATACAGAAGAACTGAAGTGGTCGCTATCAGAAATGAACTCAGAAGTCAAGTGAATAATTGTGGGCTCATTTTCGAGTCACAATTATTATAAACAATCTAGAGACACTAATTGGTTGTTAAAACAAGAGTAATTAAGGTGGTCTAAATATAATATCACTTAAATAGATATTTACTAATAAAATCAGTGATCCACAGCCTATGTTGAATATATTGAGGGAGACAGAATGTTGAAAATCAAAATACAAAGATGTATTTGGCACATCTATTGGTCGAAATTATATTTAACCCAATTATAACTTTCCACGTTAATGATATAATATTCGTACTTTGAGAAGTACTCAAATTATTTATTATCTCCTCTATTTACAGCCACATTTGGCTAAGTCTTGTACACATGGTATTTTCTATTTTATGGTGCGATGTGGTCAGTTTGATTGAGATATAAACTCAGTATGTTTGAAATGCAATGATTCATACCGCAGAGGTTGTTCTGGACTTAACTGGCTGGACTAGGCAAAAGCAGAACCGACAAGTACTCTAGACTGCTCGTACGGGTTTTATGCGTCATTGGTCCGATCGATAATTCGCTGCTCTCTAATGACGGTCTTACCATGTTGAACATTATCAGGGCATCCACTCGGTCGCAAGTTATAACATTTATCCAACCCACTGACTTATCAATGATCACGAGAAACAAGGTAATAAGTTTCAGGATACGAGTAGAAAGTAACTTCTGATAAATTACTACCCAAACGTCACTTTAATTATTTATTGTCACGTTAAGTATAGTGTTTTTGCTATAATACACAAATATAACTGACTTCTCATCAACCTCGGATAAAGCGTTTGATTCAACATATCGTATACTTTAAAATTAACTTAATAGTCTGAAATTCAGGTTAAGAATAACATACATTGAACCTCTTATCCGAAAGATTAGATAACAATAAGGCTTGATCGAAACATGATTAGCTTAAAGTAAGCAAGTAATATTTCGATCCAACTTGACATCACAACGAAGAATAAAAATAGAAACCGGTGGTTGGAAAATACGTAAATAAAAAGGAAGATAGAATGAACAACAAGCAAAAGTAAGTTCCTCACTTTTCTAGCATTTATCACCACTGTGAATCTCGAGAACATGTAAACAATTATTACCAGTAAACCTGATTATATCTATAGTTATCTATGCTTGCAATTCCCATAAGACAGTAAAAAGAAACATGTTGGCCAGACGTTGATTTTTGGTGTAACGTTTAATGCAGCTAGGCAAGAACACGATCAAGCTCACAGATGACAACATAAGCGTGCTTTTAAGATCTACCAAGTTTGTTTGCTTCCCACAGTCAGACGTAACAAAGGTGATAATTGATGAAACATTCCCGCTAAAATTTCACGAAAAAACTTATTTACTTGGTTGCCAATTTCCTGAACCTTACCGACTAATATTTTTTTAGTAGCAATGCTTTACGAAGCTTAGTGAGAAACTTGATGTACAACACTGTCATTTTCATCACTATTATTGGTATCTTTGTTCATTGCTTATACTTCAGTTTTGTAAAGGAATTTATTAGTGGTGTACTTAGTTCATAAATTTTCTGTCAAACAGTGGCCCTGTCTTTATTTTTAGCCACAAGACATTCTTAAATTCACATAATGATTTTCCCAATAACCTTGTCTCAAATATGTTAACTAACATATCCGAACTCCATTCCTGTTAGTTAAGCTCATTTTGAATGAGCTTGAATAAATAGTAACGAAGTAGAAAAACAAATATTTATCAACACTTCCAAAAAATGTTCAACCAACTGAAAGACCCCCATCTCCAGGACTAACAGACCACCCAGACTCCTGTCCTTCCTAAACTGAAATAGGAAATCCAGAAACGACATGAATGAGTAACATTGGAACGGGAACCAAGAGATATTGTGGCAACCTTTTTAAAACTGGGAGATGGTATTTTTAATGCCAGTCATACCAAATATGAGAGCTGACAAACTTATGTACGTTTATAAAATGTTGACGTAAATTTACAAAAACCAGAAGTCTTATGTATTTGTATTTCACAGTACTGAACGAAAAAAATTTATTAGGACTATCTATTCACATTTGTTACCAGCAACTAATAATAAAACGTGCTAAAGCTATCAATACATATAGAAATAAACTTGTAAGAAGCGTGAATCTACACTTAAATATCAGTGTTCGCTAGTGAGAAAAGGGTCTTGAGAAGTTGAAGTTTTGAAAATCGGGTAACCATAATTAAATCGGCTAGTACGTTTTTCCGTAGCATTTGTTTTAAAATACAAACGATGAGTCTTGGCAACTAGAAAGGTACAAACACGGTTAAAAAAATACCCAAAGAAAACAATAACTATGTCAAAAACACCTAGAATGCTTTTAATAGTCAAGTGAATGATCCCATATAAAATGTTAGACACCTAGAAGTCTGATAAAAAACAATGTATGCAGGGTGAACATATAAATTGATGCGAATTAACTGGTTTGTTGACTTGATTGACACTGTGGCCACTAAACCTGACAAATGAGAAAGCATTTCTAAGATCTGGAATACGTAAGAGTCTACACTACGCATGGTTACGGATGATAGGATCAGTTTTAGTACCTTGATAAAGATTATATTTGCAAATCATGGTACTTAGATTATATGATGAAAAAAGAATACATTTATAGAAAGCACCATTTCACATTGCCTTAACATGAAAACTTACTACTCTTTGATCTTTTGAGAAAGCCAGTGCTATAAAGCCTGTGACTTTCTGAATATTTCCTTTAAGCTCAAACTCCACGTAATTTTCAGACTTCACAGACACCAACTTCCAGGTGACGAGAAATGCACAAGATGATTCGGTACACATGGCGGGTCTCAAGCATCCCTTTGTCAGAGCACACTCGTGCAATGTAATGTCTGGAAAAATAGCAAAGGTAGCTGACAAAGCCAAGTTAACAAGTACTGAAATCAGAAGGAACATGACTATGTAGCAAACAACATCAACTACTGCGCTTTATCAAGGACAAAATGTTGTTAAAGTAACTGGATGGGTTTAACAAACTTGAAATCAGTTTCAGTTCTGAAAGGACATGAGGTTAGATCGCCTGTGTTAGTCCTGAAAATGATGATCTCTCAGTTAACCAAACTTTCTTTCGAAAGAGTAGACGAATGGAGCTTCAATCACATGCTGAGGTAATCAATTACACTCGCTAATTATTCGAAGGAAAAGTCGATAATCAGCTGACAAGTAGCTTGTTCTAGGCTTGTGAACTTCTTTTGAGTGTTAGTTAAGCAGGAATGATCTATTCTCAAATCATGCTGCTCCAAAGTATACAATTTTTAGGTCCTTTTCACCAGAATCTAACCCAAGTTTTAGTTCTTTTTCAACTTCCCGTCCTTATGAACTAAAACTCCTGAACCCTTTAATTTATGTCCATTCGGTAATATTAAGTCCCCTTCACCATGGGATTTAAATACTACTATAAGCAACCTGGTTTGATTTTGTTTCAAGTTGGTTTGGCTGCCTGGGGCGTTAGCTGATTTAACAGCAGTTTTTTCAACCCATTTTCATGCTCAAAACGGGTTTCAGGTTCTAAGCTTTCGCTCTCCTTGATTCTATGAAAGATAACTGACCTGTCACAGCTACTTGCTTACTTCCTTCCTCCTGTTACCCCTCGTGGAGGAGCATAGGCCGTCCACCAGCATTCCCTATCCAACTCTGTCCTGGGGAATTCTTTCTAGTTGTTTTTGGTTGCTGTTCATCCTTTTCATGACTGCTTCCAACTTCCGATGTAATGTGTTCTTTAGCCTTCTACTTCTCTGTTTCCCTTCAGGATTCCAGGTAAACGCTTGCATCCTGATGCAGTTTGGTGAGTTCCTCAATGTATGTCCTATCCACTTCCAACGTCTTTCCCTAATTTCTTCCTCAGCTTGGACCTGGTTTGTTTTCTCCCACAATAGGCTGTTGCTGATGGTATCCGGCCAACGGACACTGAGTATCTTGCATAGACAACTGTTTATAAATACTTGTACCGTTTTGATGATAGTTGTAGTAGTTCTTCAAGTTTCAAATCCGTACGGTAGAAATGTGTTGACGTTCGTGTTGAAGATTCTGACTTTGATGTTGACTGACAGCTGTTTTGAGTTCCATATGTTCTTCAGCTGTAGGAATGTCACCCTTTTCCAATCCTTGCCTTCACATTTGTATCAGATCCTCCTTGTTCATTGATGCTTCATCTGTCATCTGTCCTGCATGAACGACTTTGCACTGTAGTAAATCGTATGAGTTCCCGATAATGTTGACAATCTTCCAAGTAACTCCATAGTGTCGAAGTAGTTTCCATGGTATTCGTCGGTCCACATTATCAAACGCTTTCTCATAGTCAACAATGTTGACGTGTGGTGACGAACTCCACTCAACTGATTGTTCAACGATGACCCGTCATTCCGCAATTTGTTCTGTGTACGACTGATCCTTACAGAATCCAGTCTGTTGATCTCGAGGTTGGGCGTCTGCTGAGTCTCTCACCCGGCTCAGCGACACTCTGTTGAGAACTTTTCCTGGTACTGACAACAGTATGATGCCTCTGTAATTCTCACATTTGCTCAGATCTTTCTTTGGTATCTTGATGAGGTATTCTTCCTTCCAATCTGTTGCCACTCGTTCCTTCTTCCAAATCTTCTTGAATAAGTGAAGCATGTTCTCAGTTACTTTAGTGTCTGACTTCACTGCTTCAGCTGGTATATTGTGAGGTCCTGCCGTTTTCCTATTCTTCATTTGTCCGATGGCCATTCTGATTTCTTCGATCGTTGGTGAAGTGACACTTATAGAAAGGTCTGTGTGTGCTGTTTCCATATCTGGTGAATTCAATGGAGCTGTTCTATTCAGCATTTCCTCGAAGTTTTCTACTCACCCGTTCTATTATTCTTCGGTCTCCATAATTGGCTTGTCTTCTTTGTCACTGACTGGTCTCTCTGATTTACTATAGTTCTCTGCTAGTTTCTTCATCGTGTCATATAGTTATTTCACATTCCTATCTCTTGAAGCTTTTGCAGCTGTAGACCATCAGCGTTGATGTCTATGTCGAATGATTGGAGGCCTACTCGAGTTAGACGGGGATAGTGTAACGAATAAGCCAATTTCGAGGTCACACCTCGCGACCAGCACCTTACGTGGATTGAACCATCGACGTATCAAGGGATCATGGATGCTCTGAAGACTGTACAACACAAAGGAGGTTATTACAAGAATATATTAGTTAAGGTAGATACAAGCGAAAGTAGAACCACTGCCGCATGAGCCAGTCCATGGCGTATGATTAATTGGTGCACGTTGACTGTCTTTGACCTTGACAAAGATCGATGATCTGTTCGATATTCATTGACCCAGCTGCCGGATGATTTGGCTAGGGTTCAGTGACATTTCACTGGCCCTACACTGCTGTTGTTGCTAGGTTTTCCGCACATTTCTGCCTGTCAGCTCTAATGTTCTTCCTCATTTGTTCGTTTTTTACTGTGTAATCAGCTTGTGCCTTGATTTTCTCTGCTCGTGTTCGACTGTTGTTAATTGCTGTCTTTTTGTTCTTTCTTTCTTTAATTTTGTCCAGGGTTCCGATAGAGATCCATTCCTCATGATGATGCTTGTTGCAGCATAGTATCCTCTGACACGTTGAAGTTAGTGCTTCTTCGACCATTTTCCGGTTGTCCTCCATCGTAGTTTCTTGTTCTTTCAGTAGATCCTGTAAAGCTTGGACCCGTTGTTGAGAGTTATCTTGAATTCGTTGGGTTTGTTAGTATCTCGTAGGAAGGCTGTATTAAACACTTGTACTGCTGTTGGATGATGCTTTGATGATTCTGGATCCGTGAGTTTCCCATTCTACGGGTGCATTTTGTGATTATCTGGACGGCATTATAACAACTCTCTGAGTGTGTGGAGCATTTTCCCCTTCGTGACCGGAGTACAGCAACACCTCTCCCGTATCTAGCCTTTGCTGTCCAGCCTGTGTACAATGGGTTTCGCTGATTCCGAGTACTGCCAAGTTGTATCTTCTCATTTCCATTGCTATTTGACTGGTCTTCCGGTCTCCCACATTGTTCGGATGTTCGATGTACCCATAAAGAGTGTTGCTCTGGTTGTTAGAAGGGACATCGGCCTCGTGACTTCCGAAGAATCTCGACTTTCATCCTGAGGCGTCACAATTCTTCCATCGACTCAGAGGGAAAAGTTTAATTGGTTTAAATTACGTTTTCTGATTAACGGTTTTTTAGCGAGTTGGTTTTCTACGGGATGGGGTCGCTAACCCCATGCCCAACTCTTATTTTTCACCCGGGCTTAAGATAGAGCACAAGAGCTACACGCGGAGTTGACTTGTCACCATGATCAGTATTTAATTCCTCGACCACTTTTTGGAAGTTCGGATTTTTTTTATATAGTTATATCGTTTCTTGTTTACGACCTGTATCCATTCATTCACCACGGTCGCGTCAGACACACTGTTCGGTTCCGGATGGTTATCATCAACTTGACCAATCAGGTTCAGTTTCCTGCTAGAAACAGATCTAGCCTTGCGACTGAGATTCTTAGGAGTCTCCTGTCGGCTTCCATTTGGAGGACGGGGTACAGAGTAAAACATTCTTTCTTGAATTTTTATATAGAGCAGAACTCTTTGAAGTCGGTCTCTCCTCTTTTGATCGATGTGAGTCAGTTTTTCCCTAGCTCACCTGATGTGGCTTAACATCATTTATGTGGTTTCACGTTTCACCAGGAGTGGCTTTGGGACTACTCTTTGTTGAAGTTTAATCATAAGAATATTAACACTCTTGGGATCTTCCTAGCTAACGACTGATCTGAGCATTAGTTTTTTGGCTTCTTTTTTCAGACAGTTAGTGGGTGGCGTAGCGTTGTGGGTGAGATCTTGTGATCCCTTTGGTTTCCGTCCATTCTGTGGTATTAAGCACCTTTCATTGAAAGATTAAACTTCCTTCTTTAGAGGTCTGAGTTGATTTTCTTTCATGTTCATTTGGTGTAAGATCCAAACCAGGGTTTGGCTGAAGAATAACTGTCTGGGTAGTTTATTCACTCGTTATCGCCCAGTCGAAATCAAAACAAGAGGATTGGGAAAATAACGGTTCTAAATTTTATTATAAATACGAATGTACATTATTACCTGAACAAATATTACCGCTCAGTTATTCAACCAATAATTGTTCCCTCAATAATCGACCTAAATTACAGTAAATTGATAAACTGATAAGGAATGTAAGAAAATTACCGAGCGCATCAAAAATTAAGTGTTATTCTGGATAGGTCAAGTAAAAATCCATCAAAAAGATGGCAGGTTGTTGCTTAATGACACAAAGTGTTTCCGATTCTGGAAAAGTGCTTCAATTCACAATCGAAATGCACGATCCCAGTAAGCTCAAGAAACGCAAGCAAAGGGGGAACAATCAATATTGCTGCCTTTAAGATTAGATCTAAACCAAAACAACATAAATACAACTCCGGAAGAAACGTTAAAACACAGTAAAGAAGAAAGAAAAATGAGAAAAGCTTTTATAAAATAAAATACCATCCCAAATGGCATCACAAGGACTAACAAAATGTACAACTAAGAAAATCAATAAGAAGAAGTCGCAAATGTATGCATGGAGGGAGTTTCACACACAAAACCTTCAAAATGGATCTTGCATTTGTCAACAAAGCCTGTCAACTTTAGCATAACGACCCCAGAGATTTCTGGGGGGATTCGTTGGTCATGTAGAAGTCTTATCAACACAGTGTCATTCTCAAAGTCGGTTCTGATGTCACGGCTGTCGATTTCTTTGATTCCATGAAGGATCACTGACCAGTGACTATGATCAGTCATCGAGTTTTTGAACTAAGATGAGGAAAGATGCTGAAACATTCAAATCTCAACCTATCCGGCATGTAAGCGAAATTACGGAGTTTTACAAAGTTGTTCTGACGACGGGAGGACAGACATTATGATTTCTTCATCATCAGGTTTTTTAGGATTCCTGATTTCTCTTGGATTTTTAAAT